GCAGGGCAGCTCAGCTGCAGTCCCTGCACACAGCTGGGGGGTGGTGTCCCCTTGGTCAGGAGAAGTCAGTGTCCAGTCCTGTGGGGCTGTGCTCTTGGCTCATACCTCCAGCACTCACTGCTGTCCCTCCATTACCAGCTGCACTGTTCAGCCAGCCCCAGGACTCAGTGAGGTCACTGTCCTGCCCACAAGCCTTCAAACAGGGACAGGGTGCACCAGTGCCAATCAGAGTGCACTAGTGTAAATTCTGTTTATACTAAGGTTTTGCACCAGTGCCTAAAACGAATGTGATATATGCCATCATGTGACAGCAATGCCCCTCTGCCATGTACATTGGCCAAACCAGACAGTCTCTATGCAAAAGAATAATTGGACACAAATCAGACGTCAAGAATTATAACATTCAAAACCCAGTCAGAGAACACTTCAATCTCCCTAGACACTCAATAATAGACTTAAAACTGGCAATTCTTCAACAAAAAAACTTGAAAACCAGACTCCAATGAGAAATTGCAGAACTGGAATTAATTTGCAAACTGGACACCATCAAATTAGGCCTGTATAAAGACTGGGAATGGATGGGTCACTACAGAAACTAAAAACTAAATTTCCCCATGCTAATTTCCTCCTACTGTTACTCACACCTTCTTGTCAACTGTTTGAAATGGGCCACCCTGATTACCACTACAAAAGTGATTTTTTCCTCCTGTTGATAATAGCTCACTTCCACTTTAATTGAATTGCCTCGTTAGAACTGAACCCCCACTTGGTAAGGAAACTCCCATTTTTTCATGTACTGTGTATATATATTCTGCCTACTGTATTTTCCATTCCATGCATCTGATGAAGTGGGTTTTATCCCACAAAAGCTTATGCCCAAATAAATGTGTTAGTCTCTAAGGTGCCATAAGTACTCCTCATTGTTTTTGCTGATACACACTAACACAGCTACCACTCTAAAACACCAGTGTGGCAGAGACCTTCAGTTCCCAAAACAGCAGTACGGTGGCACTAGAACTGGGATCTATTTCTAGCTCTGTCACGGACTGCCTGGGTGACCTTGGACACATCAAAGTTTCTCCTCCCAACTTTAGTCTCTTTACCCAGCTGCCCACTCACTGGGGACGCCTTCTCTCCAGAGCCACTCACCACTGAAATCTGTGTGGGTGTCACCAGAGCTAAGGTAGTTCAGCTCTGGAATAGTCTTACAAGACTGACTGTGGAGTCTTTTTCCCTGGAAGTTTTTAAGAACAGGTAGGACAAATCTCTGTCAGAGATAATCTACATAGACTTGGTCCTGCCTCGGCAGAGAGAGCTGGACTTGATGACATCTTGAGGTCCTCTCCAGCCCTACATTTCTATGATGCTATGCAATATATACATATAAAAACACAACATACAGAATAAAATCCACCACAACATAATGTCAGGCAATTCAAGAAAAAAAAAAAACAACAACCTACACTCCACAGCATAAAATAATAATACAAGGAAAAACAAAGCAAAACAATGCAAACTAACACATCCTAGGACAAAAGTACACAATGGAAAATAGCTCAACTCAAACCAACACAGCACAGGCACTAAACACACTGAGGCAAAACAATGCACCATAAAACTGCAACACAACATGATGCATCAGAGTTCCAAATGGCACCATGCAAAACAGCTCAGCGTAGAACATGACACAGCACAAAACAGAATTATTTCAATGTAGGCATAGAAGGGATCTTGAGAGGTCATCTACTTAAGCCTCCTGTGATGAGGTAGGACCAAGTATCCCTAGACATTCCCAGACTGGTGTACCTCTAACCTTATCTTAAAAACCTCCAATGAAGGAAATTCCACAACCTCCCTTGGAAGCAAATGCCATGCAAACACAGACCAAAACAACGCTGTACACATACAAGATGGGCTTGTGGTTAAGGGAAGAGGCAAAAATTCAAACAATCTGGGTTCAGTTCCCAGTTTTGCCCCAAATTCTCCATGCAAACTTGAGCAAATTACTTCAGCTCTTTGAGCTTCAGTTTCCCCATCTGTAAAATGGAAAGTCACCTCCCACCATTGGCCTATTTAGCCTTTGAGCTTTTTGTGGCAAAGACTCTCTGTCACTGTGGGCATGTCTACACTGCAGTTAGACACTGGCGGCTGGCACGTGCCCACTGACTTGGGCTGACACAGCTCAGGCTGTGGGGTTGTTTAATTGTGGTGTCGATGTTCCAGCTTGGGCTGCAGCCCAAGGTCTGGCACCCTCCCACCTCGCAGGGTCCTACAGCCTGGCTCCAGCCTGAGCCCAGACAACACTGTAATTAAACAGCCCCTTTGCCTGAGCCTTGTGAGCCTGAGTCACCTGGCATGGGCCAGCTGTGGGTTTTTAATGGCAGGGTAGAGATACCCTTGGTGTCTGTTCAGCACCAGTCACAATGGGGACCCTGATCTTGGTCAGTGTCTGTGCAGACTCCTGCACAACAGGGGGCCTGATCTTAGTCGGGGGCTCTGCAACTCCTGGCATTACAGGATCCCTGATTTTGTTTGGGGTCCCTGTAGTATCTGGCAAAATGTGGGGGCAGGATCTCTGTCAGGGTCCTATCCTATCTCCTAGAACTAGAAGGGACCTTGACAGGTCATCGAGTCCAGCCCCCTGCCTTCACTAGTAGGACCAAGTACTGATTTTGCCCCATATCCCTAAGTGGCCACCTCAAGGATTGAACTCATAACCCTGGGTTTAGCAAGCCAATGCTCAAACCACTGAGCTATCCCTCCCCCCAAAGTGCCAGGCCCAACGGGAACACAGATCTCAGTCCAGGTCTCTGAAGTGCCCAGCACAATGGAGGCAGCAATCTGGGCAGCAGTCGTGAGCTGCCTGGCACAAGGGAGGGCCGTGATCTCTGTCCAGGTCTGTTTTACCTGGCACAGCAGGGACGCAGAGCTCAGTTGGGGTCTCCACAGCACCTGTCACAACAGTGGGGTCTGACCTCTGTTGGGGTCTCTGCAGTGCCTGGCAGAACAGGACCCAGATCTCAGTTGGGGTCTCTGCAGCTCCAGGAACAACAAGGTCCCTGATTTTGTTTGCTGTCTCTGCAGCACCTGGCACAATGGGAGCCTGATTTCACTTGGTTTCTTTGCAGGACCTGGCACAACAGGGGCCCAGAGCTCAGTCAGGGTCACTGTAGCACCCGGCACAATCCTGCTCTCTGTAGGCATCTGTGCAGTTCCTGGCACAACGAGTGCCCCAAACTCGGTCAGGGGTTGTGCAGTGCCCAGCACACTGTGGGTCGTCATCTCAGACAAAGCCTGAGCCACGCTCAGTCCGATAAGAGCCCTGATCTCAGTCAGACACCTGGAGCGAAAAGCAGGAAGACTTTCAAGAATTTGATATCAGTATTTCAAAACTGAGGAGAAAATGGGGCCCATTTCAGAAATCATTCAGGGGAACGATTTCCCACCTAAACAAGGACAAATCACTGCAAGTAAAAATGGGGGGAAACACCCCAAACCTGAGATTTGAACTGGCCATTGGCAAAGTGGACAGAAAATGGGGCACAACTGGGGGAGGGGAACAGAGACCATCTCAAGGATTGGAGGGAAAAGGGGGATCACCCTGGATGTTGCTCGTTGCTCTCTAGAGAGAAGGGGGGCAGGGCTGGAGAGGATGGGGGGTCCCCACGAGAGGGTGCAGCGGTAAATCCGAGGGGATCTCAGCCCCCCCTTTCTCTCCCGCTCCTC